CAAGGAGGGAAGGCAAGTTCCCACAGCAATTATTTCTAGTGAGTCGTAACTCTTAGAATCAATAAGCTTTTCCGTGCTGGTATCTTAGTATCAGAGAGAATATTGGTTCTATCTTGTTCCTCTCTGAAAACAAGACAATCCTTATATAACATGGCTGTTCTCAGCCTTTTGTCCCCCTGAAAACTAAATAACCCTTCTTTTTATTCATCTGTCTAAAGGTCCATTTTCCATCCTACTGATCACATTATTGTATTTCACAAGCTCTTTCTATTTTTCTATAACACACAATACCTTGCCTGCTGTAGATGCTCTGTAGATACTTGTTGAATGGAACTGAAACCACAGACCTCAAAGTTGAAATTAGAATTATAGTTAATATTTAACCAAAAGAAGTTTCACTTTTGAGAGAAGTGAAACATTTTGCTTTAGTAATAACTCCAATTTTTTAATAAAACATTTATTCTTATCATTTTTATGTTTCTATACAGCAGTCATTTGCTATGCATAGAAGTCAAATTAATTCTACTTCACAGAAAAGTACAGCTTCGGCACACAGATTTTTCAGGGCTTGTTTAAATCAGAATGCTGTATTTAACCTAGGACAGACACGGGTTGGGCTAACCCTGATTTCATTTCTCTGTGTAGAGGTGTCTTTGGATTGGCTCTCCTTACACTCATGGAGGGCAAGATCTATATCTGTGGAAAGAAACCAGACTATCAGTGAATCCAGTACAATATAAATTAATCCAAGATGGCATGTGCAAGGGTAGAAAGCTCTCAAAACAATTGCTACATTTTTTTCAATTATTATGTCATTAACAAACATCCACAAGAAGACTGGTGGTACCAACAGTGGTTCTTTTTGCAGGGCTTTGAACCAGTCATGCCATTAAGAATTTTAGGTTGCCAGAAGTTTCATGGTGCTATGGTGATAGGTGATGACAGCTCCCTTTGGCAGTCAATACAAATGTCAATCAAATCTGTACTAAGACTTGTCATTGCACAAGAACTCATTGGTCTGCATGCAACTGTGGCTTCAACCAGCAACCAGTCGTAACTTCTAGTCGTGGTGAAGCTACCTGGAACTCTGGGCAGATTTTGGGAGGATGTGATTGCATCAGACGACTGATTTTCCAACCTGAAAAAGAAAGAGAAAGAAAGAAAAGGAAGGAAATGAGTAAGAACGAGAAGTGTTGGACGTATCATAAGATAGATCTATGGTAATAGAATATCCATTCATTAAAATTTATTTAGGAAATATATGCTGAGAAATTTCTCAGTACTGTTCAGTTGCTAGGCTTCTTGTAATAATGAACCCAAAGGGCTGTGTTCATTTTATGCTCACAAGGTGGTTATGATCTAGCGCAGAGAAAGGTGGTGATAAGTGCTTTACAGAGCACCAAAACAGGGTGTCGTGTGGTGCAGATGGCTATGGAATGAAAGCTTTCTCTGAGGAAGCGATGAGGAGAGATCTGAGTAACAAGAAAGGATCAGCCATGAGAAGGATGGGAAAGAGCATGGGAGGCGGAAAGCCTCAGCAGAGATCAGATTATACAGGACTTGCAAGGCGTGGGGTTGAGATTTCATTCTGAGTGCAATTTGAAGCCATTTAGAGAATTTAAAATAAATAATTTGATTTATGTTTAAAATAATCCTGGGGCAGGATATAAAAAAGAAAAAACTAAAATAATGCCTCTGGTTGCTCAAGGGAGAAAGGATGTGGGAGTCAGCAATTAAGGTAGGGACACCAATCAAGGGGCTATTTGTCATTAGCCTTAAAAACAGCATTCTACTTCAAACAAGTGCCTTAGGAAATGATGCTAACTTTGACTAAAATGGCACCAAAGGAGATGGAGAAGAGTGGACAGAACTCAGGAGCTGCTTTGGAGGTTGCGTTCACAGAAATTCTGATGATGATGGAGTGAAAATAGGAAATGAGAGAAAGAGAAACTGAGAATGATTCCCAGGCTTTGCTGTTGAGCAGCTAAGGTGAATGATGGTGTAAGTTACTGAGCAAAACTGGAGGAGGCGTCAACAGCGGGTAAAGCGAGAGTCAAGGATTAAAACAACTGAAGGGATAGCCAAGAGCAATTGTTAAGTAAAGAGACTGTGGATACATGTGTCTGGAGATCAGGGGAGAATGCTAGGCTGGAAACATAAATTTGGGGGTGTCTGGATAAGACCATCAAGTACTTAGTAGAAACAGAGAAGAGAAGCCCTGCGTCTAGCCAAGAAGGACCACTGAACAGAGGGAGAGGTGGCAGCAAGAGAGACTTGAAAGGAACTCTTGCCAGTGAGATGAGAGAAGGCAAAAACCAGAATGTGTCCACCACCATAGCCAAACATCTGCTCCATCCTGACCGCAGGCCTGTTCAAGCAGGTTCACGATGAGGAGTCAGATAACTTCAGTGCTGGGAAAGATTTGGAGCTAATTCAGTGCTGTGTCCTCATATGAGCAAGCTGGAACCTAGAGAAATTTGATCCACTTTAC